TCTCTGTCAGCAAATGTTTTGCTCCCATGGCTGGCTCAACCTAGCTCTGAAGTGACATGCAGGTCGGGAGAGCTTAGCTGACAAATCCAATCCCCTTAGGTGTGCATACCCCCATTTACTCCTCCTTCTGTTCCTGGTTACTATACCATCTACCTCCTTTTCACATACCATGGAGACCCACAAGATTTCATCTGCTTTTTCACTCACTCATTTCTTCCCCCTCATCCTCCAAGCCTAAAATAGTTTCCACGTGAACAAGGGACAACATGAAATGTTAGTGAATAATGGGGCCTACAGGACTGTCCTTAACTGTTTTTGTCCCCATTGCTTTTGTCTTACTATATCGATCACTCTTCCTCATTAAAAAAAATGTATGCCATGACAACTTTTTGGTTGTATGGCTCTAGAATGCACTTTCTTTGATTTCTTCTCACCTTTCATTTCTTAATGCCGAATAATAGCTACTGCTCTGTGTCCAGCATAAACACTATTTTCTCTTTGAAATTGTTCACACACCTCTTATTGTAAATTAACCTATTCCTCTCCTTACTTTCCAAATCTCTCTTTTGGCTCTGACACTCTCTACTTAGTATTATTGTTAGTAGTATATGTCTTTCTTATTATACAGGGTCCTCGTTGAGATAACGTATGTTGAATAAACAGAGGAGTAATCTTACAGATGAATACATAAATAAATGCAATGTGGCAATATATTAACAAAAGAAAAAGTAATTAATGTAAAAACACCACTCACTACCCTCCAGGTCATGCTGACTGATGCAGGCTTTCTGAGACTAAATCTTTCCACGGACAGAAATTGGCTGGTAGGCTTAACTGAGAACCTCGTGATTAGCGGCCCAACGCTAAGACCTCCATGCAACCAGGCCTCCTTTACATACAAAGACTACATTTCATCAGTGTTCGGCCATCTGGTATTATTTATGTTTAGTTTATGGAGAGCTAGTATTTACTCATGAAACTCTGCTTTTGACTCCAAATTGGAGTATAATACTCAAGTATCCATTTTCTTTTGTCTTTCTTTTCTTTTTAGTTAAAAAAGAAGTAGAAACCCATCATTATAGAAATTTGGGTACTTTAAAAAATAGGTTCAGGTAACTTGTATTTTAATTGGCAACTTAATAGAATCATAAATTGAGGTAACTTGATGTTTTATAAAAGACCACATTATAAATTTATTATCGCTATTAGCAGTCAAAGCACTTCCCACCTTTTACGGCAAAGCACTTATTAAAATTAACCAATTAATCCTTAGACAGAGGTTAAATAACTTGCTGAAGGTCCTGAAATAGTCCTATTACAGTCAGAGTAGAGCCCCAGAAGTTGTTGATCAAAATGTCAAAAATCATTGCTAAAGTATAGTAATACTGTTCTCTGGCAGGTTAAGGTTGTGGACAGTGCCCTTAAAATGATAAATCCAACTGAAATCTCCACAATAAACGTAGGATCTATTAGCTGAGAGCCAGCTAGGTTCAGTGGGGTTGGTGTTCTGTCTTTTCTCCGAAAATGAAGGAATGGAAGAACGGTTCATGACAGTGCCGAATTAAAGTCCATTAGTAGGAGGTATACCATCAGCTCTTAGTAGTGCTGAGTGAAAACATTGCACAGCTCTAATGGCAAAATAAAATCTTGCAGTATAAAATGCAAAATAATTGTAACAAAAGGAAGGGAGACAGTGCTCAATAATGGCACAAATAAAATTAAATATTCCTTGAATGAGTTGTCTGAAAAACAAATATAACGGCCTTAAATGCTACTCTGTGGCAATATTTTCTAATATAAGTCACAGAAATAACTGAGGATGACAATTTGCATGTAAGCTCAGCTGTTTAGTATGAGGTCAAGGCTATTTGAGGTTATTTGTAATTAAATGATCAAAGCATCAGGGCAAGAGAACCAATGGGAATTGTCTTAGTTATCTACCGCTGCTATAACAGAAGTACCGCATGTGGATATCTTTATCAAATGGAAATGTATTCTCATAGTTTAAGAGCTTTGATGCCTGAATTCATTGTGCCAGTTCTAGAGGAAAGGCTTTCATTTTTTTCTGTGAACTCTGAGTAAAAATCCTTGTTTCTTTTCAATATTTATGCCCCTGACATTCCTGGGTAATGTCCATGTGTCCTGGCATGAATTGTCCCAGGGAAGAACTGTTTACTTATGAAACTGTTTACTTATGAAAATCACTCCCTGCCCTCCCTAACCAAGGGGAAACATACATCTTTTTAAAAGACATGTGTTTTACATATATTTTGGTAAGTAGAAAGCCAAATGGTATAAATTTTCAAATTAAAAGCAGCAAAAAGCTATAAAGTTAACACTGCCAGAAAGGACCACTCAGAGATCAGAAATGGTGCTGTTTTTATTTCAGTATTTCAATTTTATATTGAACAGCATGTTCTCTTTTGATAAATTATATCTTATACTTTGTAATGTTCTCTTAAAATTTTGAGGTTTATGGATTACTGAAAAATAATCTGAGAATACTTAAGTATGCTTGCTAGCATAGCAACAGCTAATTTCTAGGCCATGCGTACAGATCTGGCGTTTGCGACACATCTCGTCTCACAATCCTTTAGAAATATGCTTTGTCCCACAACCCTAACCAGACAAACGGCCTTTTGGACTGTCTTCACAAGGTAGAGAAGTGTGGACTTGCCTTCCCCCCCGCAAAAAAAATTAAAGAAAAGTTAATATATCAAGCACGATGAAAGACAATGAAAAACAGTCCTAAAACTGTTTAGTTCAAAGTTGAAAACTGTATGTTACCTAAGAAATGACTATTATTACTTTTCCAAATACCATTTGCATTAGAATAAACTGAATTGCATCCCTCAAAAAAATTTTTTTAATTGCAAGGTGTTGCATGAATAGGAACCGTGGTTGTGATTTTTGCTGTAATTAAAGTTAAGTAAACTGCACAGATTCACAAATGATTGTCAACAAACAGAAATAGATATTTTAAAATAGCATCGTACATAAATGATACTCAGACAGACACACAGATTAAACAAAAATGTTGACTTGAGGCTTATCTCAAACCCAACAAATTGTTTCTAGTTGTATGCTTCTGCAAACATAATTAAAAATATTCATTCACATGTAAAT